ACAACACAAATATAAAGATATGCTGTCTCATGGTTTGGAAGGATTAATAGCAATAAAATGTCCATACTACCCAAAGCAATTTATAAATTCAATGCAATCCCTATCAAAATACCAATGGCATTTTACACAGAACAATAATTCTAAAATTTAGAACCACAAAATATCCAAATAGCTAAAGCAACTTGAGAAAGAAAAACAAAGTTAGAGGTATCACACACCCTGATTTCAAACTACACTACAAAGTTATAGTATTGAAACAATATGGTGCTGGTATAAAAACAGACATATAGATCAATGGAACAGAATAGAGAGTCCAAAAATAAACCCATAGTTACATGGTTATTTAATGATTGGTTATTTAATCATATGGTTACATTATGGTTAAATAAAACCATGGTTAATTATGGCTATTTAACCATAAACCATATGGTTATGTGGTTAATCTACAACAAAGAAGGCAAGAATATACAATAAGGAAAGGACAGTCTCTTCACTAAATGGTGCTGGGAAAATAGGACAGATACATGCAAAAAATGAAACTATATCATTTTTATACCATATACAAAAATAAACTCAAAATACATTAAAGACTTAGATGTAAGACCTGAAACCACAGAACTCATAAAAGACCAGAGGCAGAAACTCTTCTATGTTTCTCTTAGCAACATTTTTTTGTGTATGTCTCCTCAGACAAACGCAACAAAAGTAAAAAATAAACAAATAGGACTACATCAGCTAAAGGGTTCTGCACAATCAAGGAAAGCATCAACAACATGAAAATGCAACCTACTGAATGAGAGATGATACAGTCACACACCACTTAATGACAAGAGTACACTCTGAAAACTGCATTGTTAAGTCGTTTTATCATTGTGCAAATTTCATAAGGTGTATTTATACAAACATAGATGAAATAGCCTACTACATACCTAGACTATATGACATATCATTATGTATGCAGTCGGTCACTGACTGAAATGTTATGCAGCATCTTATACAGCATATGACTGTATTTGCAAATTATATATACAATAAGGGATTAATATCCAAGATATATAAAGAACTCCTACAAGTCAACATCAAAAAAACAACCCAATTAAAAAATGGGCAGAGGACCTAAATAGACATTTCTCCAAAGAATACATCCAGATGGCCAACAGACACATGGAAAGATACTCAACATCATTAATCATCAGGGAAATGCAAATCAAAACCATAGTAGGATACCACCTCATACCTGTCTACATGGCTATTACCAAAAGACAACAAATAACAAGTGTTGGCAAGGATGTGAAAGGGAAAGGAAGTTTCCTTCATGCACTGTTGGTGGGATTATAAATTAGTGCAGCCATTATGAAAAACAATATAGAGACTCTTCAAAAAATTGAAAATAGAGCTATCATATAATACAGTAATTCCACTTCTGGGCATTTATCCAAAGAAAACAAAAACCCTAGTTGGAAAAGAGACATGCACCCTGTGTTCATTCCAACATCATTTACAATAGCCAAGATATGGAAGCAACCTTGGTGTCTACTGATAGATGGATAAGAAAAATGTGGTATATATACAATATGAAATATTACTCAGCTATAAAAAAAAGAATGAAATCTTGTGATTTGGGACAACATGGATGGACATAGAGGGTGTTATACTACATGAAATAAGTTGAATGGAGAAAGACAAATACTGTATGATTTCATTTATATGCGAAATCTAAAGAATAAAACAAAGAACAAACAAAAAACACAAACAGACTCACAGACACAGAGAACAAACCAATGGTTAACAGAGGGAAGAGTAGGTAGAGAAGTGAAAAATGTGAAAGGGATTAAGAGGTACAAACTTCCAGTTATAAAATAAATAAAACATGGGCATGCAATATAAAGCATAAGGAATGTAGTTAATAATATTATAATAACTTTGTACAAAGACAGATGGTTACTAGACTTATGGTGATCACTTCATAGGGTATATAAATGTCAAATCACTATGTTGTACACCTGAAACTAATATAACATTGTATGACGACTATACTTTAATTTTTTAATGGTTACAATGGTAAAAACTATTTGTTTAGAAGGTAGATCTCATATTAAGTGTTCTTAACAGTAAAAAAAAATTAATCAATAAGTATTTATTTTAAATTATGATGTATCTTATAAAAGATGGTGACTTAGATTCAACAAAATACATTCAAATACTCAGGACCAAAAAGTGTGCTAGATCCCTTTCGTATGTCAACTCATTCAAGCCTCATAAATATTAAGGTAGATATTATTCTTATTTTACAAATAACCCCTTGCCAGGGTCACAGCCAATGAGTGAAAGAGTCTGAAAAAGAACCCAGGTATCCACTCTGCTCCCTCCCTATCTAGGCAAATTTCCACAATGCCACATTAGTCAGAATCTGCAAGTTCAGCTCCTAACACCCTATTCTCTTCCCCATTCCCTAATCATTTCTCCCCACCCAGTGATGAGAACAAGATGCTGGAGTTTATCCCCCAGGCTAATGAGCATGTCCTGTCTGGCCTTGGGAAAGCCCTACCCTGACCATAACTAACTATCCTCCCTCTGCCATTCAATTATCACCTTCCAAAAACCGGAAACCTAAAATGTAGGCCAGGTCTTTTGACTTTCTGCAACAGGCTAAAGCATAATTCATTTATATTTTGGCAAAACAACTGCAAAATTCTGTGCTCCATCTTTCTTCTGGCTTGATCACCTAACTCTGCCATGTGTACCACTGTCAAACTCATAGCAACAGCCCCAGGAAAAACAAGGGTAAAGCAATCACACAAAGTCCCACAGATGGAGAAAACTAAACACCTGCTCTAGTATCTTCAGGTTCTATGGGCTGATGATGGTTACTCTTTATACTTAGGAAGTATGTAAAATGGCGAGCTGGGAATCCAAGTTAAAAAGCTACAAAAGATGTCATAAACTTGAAACCTAAACTTACCTTTAGTCATATGAAACAGTTTTTAATTGATGCAAGTTGGGCAAAGAAGGAAATATCCAAGGGTAAGGGAAAAAGACCTTAGTTTTACAATTTCAGTTTTACCCACCCACTCCATTCTACTTAACAGAATCAAATCCAGTAAATGCATTCTTATCCCACCTTCCACATTACCAATTTTAAAAGGGGGTTGGGGGTGGTGCACTTAGAAAATCCCAAGGAAATTGAATTTCTTTTCCAAAGTGACACAGTCAAGACAGGCTCTCAGAGTTTAAGCTTACAGAGTTGAATCCAGGTTTCCTAAGATCTAGACATGAGAATAACATTTAAAGAACAGCAAGCAAACTTACTGAACAACATATTAGGCAATAATAAAACTGACAGATGATACAAACTGATACATCTTTGAAAAATAAAAATGAAATAATGAATGATCTATTTTAGACTCCTGTTTATTCAAATACCACAATTTTCCATAGCATGCTAATTCCTAAATATGTGTAAAGATATGTGTTACCAATATTAAATTGAAAATTAACTGATAATATTATTTTATGTTCATCTCTTTAAAATTAAAAGACTAAAAATAATCTTTACCAATTATATTACTGTGATTCATACTCAACATTAATACATATTTAGACTTCACCTGATAGCCAGTGGCTGAGTCCTATTCTCCCACCGATACAGGAATGAATCGAGGTGAGGAGATTGCTAAAATAGGTAGGCATGATAATATGGACCTAAAATGACAGGGTCAAGTCAACAGAAATGGGAAGAAGCAAAAAATATGAGAATGGTGAGCAAAGAATAGGATAGTGATGGCAATAAAAAAGATAGTAAGTCCAGGAGAAAGATGGCCAAAGAATGGGAATAAGAAACAAGATGTTTTGTAGAGTCTGGTAAATTTGGTATGTATACATGACACCCACAGGGACATGTCCAACAGGAAGTAGGAAATGACTCACATGGACCTCAAGGGAAAAGCCCAGAGTAGAGATAGACATGAAAGCCAATACCCTAAGACATAACTGCTGAAATCATGGGAACACAGCAGTAACACCAAATCACCAAGACAACACATGCAAGGAGATGAAGGAAAGACAGCAGAGGCCCAAATCTGTGGCTGTCAGCAATAGGAAGAATCTATGAAGAAGGCAAAGACAGGTCAGAGAAGGACAAACCAAAAAAATTCCAGAATCTATGTTATGGGAAGAAAGAAAACAGCCACCTTCATCAGTGATCACAGAAAGAGTCAAGAGTTATCAGCAGAAGGCAGCAATTGGATTGACAAGGGAAAGTACATAGAGACAGCTCTATCAATCTTCCCTACTAATAAAGCCTGAGGATATGGGGGGAAAGGCCTAGACTGTAATTGATAGGCAAAAGCAAAACAATATTATTTTGTCAATATAAACCAATATTATTTTGTCAGCCATGCATGTCACCACTTTAAAAGGAAAGGCTTCAAGTGCATCTGGCTCAGCATATAAAAACTTGGATGTAGATACCAACCGTTCTGCCTATTAAAATTCACCCCCCAACGCCAATGCACACACACCATGTCTTAATGACACTGACTTTTATAATACTGGTACAAAAACAAGATGTACATTTTATTAAAATGTAGAGGATTGAATATCATAAACTATGTATTTTGAAATATACTTTTAAGTTTTATGTCGACATTTTATGAAGAACATATCTCTTAGTTTTTGAAATGCCTTGCTACTTTTATATCTGCGATCTAAATTTGGCCCTATCATGAGTCATTAGAGAAAAAAATGCATAAAAAATATTATTAAGTTACAGTTAACTCCAAAAGTGTGATGAAATGTTAGGAAACCATTTACACTGCAAAACTTGTATTGTGAAACAATCCTTAAAAGCTCTCAACTATCACAGATCTTTTATGCATCAGTGTTCTTGTCTATGCAGTGTATTAGTACATGCTTTAGTCTTGCCTAAAGTTACTGTTTTCAATCATTCAATGACCTATGAGGTTGAAGTTATGAAAAATGGTCATGAAAGCAGCAAATACCTGAGGTACTCACAGCTGTGGAGTAGGGATTATGAGTTCCAGTATTTTCAGCCCAGCAGCCACATCCATAAAGAGCAGCCTGGAATAAAAGAAAATAGATAAATATAATATTTCAGAAATACTATATGTCATTACTGGCTTTCAACAGAAGACAAAATCATTCCCACTGATAAATTTAATAATGATGTATATCAACTGGGCAATAATACCAGAGGTTGTATCAAAACTATATTTTCAGCTATTGCAATAATCTAAAATTTTTCAGAAAAAATAGCAAAACAAAGTTTCTTAGTCTTACCAACAGTAATTTTCCTTCCCCTGAAAAATCTTCTCCCATTATAATTTGTCAACCAGCTGCTTTTCTGGCCCTTTCAAATCATTCTGGTTGCCTTAAAACAGTGGTTCTCAAACTAAGTGTGTTATCAAATTACTTGGGGAGCATGGTGATAGGAACCACAATTCCCAGATATTCGAAGTCAGTGATCTGGGAGCTAGCCCAGGAATCAGCTCCTTAACCAGGGCCCTGGGAGACCAGGATGCCAGCACTCCTTCTGCCATTATCTAGGAAACCCCATTTAGGATGGCCTTTTCCATGCCTCTCTTGGGTGGCATAATAAGAACTGCACACATTTATGGACCAAAGGACCCAGTATATGTTGACCACTATGCTAGATTTTTCCAGGTGTAAAGAAAAAAGAATAAAAGTCCTGTTCAAGCTAATCACTTTGTAAAGTGGTAAAGCAGATGTATATGCCTGAAACTGGAAACACAATAAGTTGCTATAGTTTTATAAGTTTTACAGTTTTATAGAATACATCAATCATTCCTATTTTGTTTCCAATTAATGCTACCCGGAATGTCTAGCTTCATCTTTTCAATATCCACAATCACTTCTTTGCCTTTGAGAGTAGAATTACAAGTGAAAATTTTCCACTCCTTAGTTAGAAGCAGACTTAGAAAAAACCTTAGATAGCTATCATAGAGTAATAAAAAAATGTGCATTATCGCATGTTTGGTGAGAATGAAAAACTGAAAACAACAAAGTTGATCAGTAAGAAATTGCTAAATATTGGCATAACAATGTGTGGAATTCACTGCAAATGCTCAAAAATAATTAAAATAGTTAAAAAAAAAAGAGGTGAGCCACAACAATACATCAGCACTCAGTATGACTGATGGGAAGAAAGATAATTCCCATAAAATAGTACCGTTATTTTCTAGGCGCTCACTGTTGAGGACTGGAATAAGACTGTGAATGGTTACCAGACAAACTACAGCTTTCTATAATTTTCTATCCTTTTTCACAAAGACTTCAGAACTCATTTACTCCAATATTCTATGAAGCACATGAATCTCTATGAAAATATCCCAAGTATATCTGATACTAAGAAGCTCACTATCTCATGTTAGAACATACTCCCCACTTGGACACTTCCCAATGGTGAAAAGTTCTTCCTTAGATTGCATAAGGAATATCTGCTCTAATATAACTTCCACCCACTCGTACTAGTTCTACTCTCTGGAAATACTTTAACCACCTCCTAAAGCCCTATGAATTTTTTAAACAGCTATCCTAGTGCCCTGATTCTTTTCTCACTCAAAGAATCCTAGATTTGTGAACTGTTTCTCAAGACTGAAATGCACACACACACACACACACCCCACTCCCTTAATCACCGTCCTTGAGAAATAATACAAAATCTAGGATAATTGGAGATGAAATCTTGTGACCCACAGTTGCCATCCCCAGGTGTCATGACAACAGCCCTCTTAAAAGTAAAACCAAGAACTGAACACAACACTTCCAACACAGCAGACAGTAGAAAATACATTATGGCTGTTGAAAATACCATGCCTCCTACATTCATAAGACTTCTAGGTCAGAGTAGCAACTGAAAGCTCTATAGAAAGGATTCAAAACATGGATTTCATAATAAAACTGGCAGACTTGTTGGATAAGCCATTCAACTGGTACTACCTGGAATAGGGTCAGCCAAAGCCTCAGAGAACACAGGACCTCAGAAGAAGGACCCATTTGTCCTTCATTGAACACCCTGGACATTAGCCCATTGTCCTTTCCATTCCCCACAATTATCTTGATCAGGAGCCAGCACTCCGAAAAACTGTAAATAAGGCCACAAGACACCTCTTAGAAACGCAGTGGAAGTCAACTCTTTCTAGAAAAGAAAGAACATTTGTTCTTATTCTTGTTTATTCTAAGAAAATTCCTTTTATGCTACCTCTTCTCAATTTTATGACCTAAACTTGTCTTATTTTGAAACCTTCTGAAATTGGTTGGGCAGAGACACAGATAGGTAAGATAAAAGAAAAAATCAGAGATTGTCTCTCTTATCTACTTCTTTGGATAAGACACAGCCTTAAGCCAGCCTAAAAAACAATTTTAAAAGGCTTCCCTCTTTTAGTAGTTAAGATTTTATTAAAGTTGCTGTCATGTGGTAAAAGTAGGTCATATAAATTATATTTATTATTATGACTTAATCTTCTCTGGGTCTTAGTTTCCTCTTTTATAAAATGAGGATAATTAAAACACCCCCCTCATAGTATTGTAAGATGATGTGAATTATGCTTGGTGCACATACCAAATGATTAATAAACAGTAGGTATAACTGTTATTATGAAGAACAACGATAAATGATTTAGATGCATTATATCACTTAATCTTCTGGAACTTTGTAAGATAGCTATTTATCCCCATTTTACAGTAGGGGAAAGTAGAGCTTAAAACACTGAATATTGTCCACAGTCAGAAGACTGGTAAATGAAAAGGTGGGAAGAGAATAAAGGTTTACCTGAATCCAAAGTCCATATTCTTAACCACTAAACTCAACTACCTATTTGTATGTGCATAGGGTGAGGCTTAAGGGAGGAAGAAAATATCATAATTCTGTTCTCATGTCCCAGTTGTAAATACTAATCATAACAATAAGCTAAAGAAGAAAATAATTCCTAACTCAAATTGCCATTTTACCATCTGAACTATTATCATATACCAAAAGCAGGGAAATATGCTAAATTTTTAGTTTATTTGTACATTTAAATATATTTTAAAAGATCTAGTTTTAGCACATTTAATTTTTAAATTACGTTTTATTGATTATGCTATTGTAGTTTTCCCATTTTTCCACCTTTGTCCCCCTGGATCCAGCACCCCCCACTCCCTCAGGCAATCCTCAAACCTTGGTTCATATTCACTGGTCATGCATATAAGTTCTTTGGCTACTCCATTTCCTATACTGTACTTTACATCCCAATGGCTATTCTGTAACTGCCAGTTTGTACCCCTTAATCCCCCTCCCTCTTCATTCATTTCCCCCAAATTCCCCTTCCATCTGGCAATCATCAAAATGCTCTCCAAAGGACTAAGGGACACGGCAACAGTGTGGTGACTATAGGGAGAAGGGGGGTATAAGAAGTCTAAATGGTAATGGGAAAAAAATCAATAAAAAAAAGAAAACACTCTCTGTATCCATGATTCTGCCTCTGCCCTTGTTTGCTTAGATTCAATTGTTGATAGATATGTATTTTTTGCCATTTTACTGTTACTAGTTTTGAACTTTTTTGTAAGTAAGTACCTTTAATATTTCCTATAATAATGGCTTGGTGATGATCAACTCCTTTAGTTTTTTCTTGTCTGAGAAGCTCTTTATCTGCCCTCTGATTCTAAATCATAGCTTTGCTGGGTAGAGCAATCTTAGCTTATAGGTCCCTGTTTTTCATTACTTTGAATATTTCTTGCCAATCCCTTCTAGCCTGCAAAGTTTCTTTTGAGAAATCAGCTGACAGTGCTTTGAGAACTTCCCTATAGGTAACTACTTTTCTCTTGCTGCTTTTAAGATTCTCTCTTTATCTTTAACCTTTGGCATTTTAACATGATGTATCTTAGAGTGGGCCTCTCTGCATCCATCTTATTTGGGACTCTGTGCTTCCGAGACTTGCGTTTCTATTTCCTTCACCAAATTAGGCAAGTTTTCTTTCACTATTTTTTCAGATAGATTTCCAACTTCTCGCTATTTCTCTTCTCCTTCTGGTACCCCTATGATGAGACTGTTGGACCTCTTGAACTTGCCCCAGAGGCTGTTCACACTATCCTTTTTTTTTGGGGGGGGGGGGGAGTCTTTTTTCTTTCTGTTATTCTGACTGGTTGTTTTTTGTTTCCTTATGTTTCAAATCATTGACTGGATTCTGAGCTTCATCCACTCTACTATTGTTTCCCTGTAAATTGTTCTTTATTTCAATTAGTGTATCCTTCATTTCTGACTGGATTTTTATGCTGCTTAGGTCCTCACTAAGTTCCTTGAACATCTTTATAACCAATGTTTTGAACTCTGTTATCTCATAGTCTGCTTATCTCCTTTTTGATTAGCTATTTTTCTGGAGTTTTGATCTGTTCTTTCATTTGGCCATGTTTCTTTGTCTCCTCATTTTTTGGCAGCTTCCCTGTATTTGTTTCTATGTGTTAGGTAGAGCTGCTATGACTTCCTGTCTTGGTAGCATGGCCTAATGTAGTAGGTGTCCTATAGGGTTCAGTGGCACAGCCTGCCCTATCATCCAAGCTGGGTATTTGAGGTGCACCCTCCATGTGGGCTAAGTACACCCTCTTCTTGTAGTTGAACCTTGATTGATGTCTGCAGGTCAATGGGAAGGATTTACCCAGGCCAGTCAGCTGCAAGTACTGGCTGTGACCACAGACCACCAACCTCTGCGCTATATGGAAGATCAGCTGTGCAGGGACAGGGTGGTGGTGCTTCAACAAGGTCTGTAGCTATCCACTGGGTATGCAGGCTCTGGGGTTTCCCAAGTGATGTAGGCCACAGTCAGCCCCAACCTGTGATTTGCCTGGGGCCATCTTGCATGAACTACAATGCCACCTGTAGATGGCTACTACTTGTGCTGGGCTTGAGGTTCACAGGCCAAAGCCAATCTATGAACCTAAGCTGTTGCTAGTGCCCAGCCTGGGGCCTCATAGTAAGTGGTACAGGGGCTGGGAGCTCATTGAGGCTGACTGTTGCTTGTTTGAGAGAATTTAGGAAGTTGTGAAGCATGAGCCAAGACCAGCCATTTATGTGGATAAGCCACTGTAAACAGCTTGCATAGGCCATAACTTGAATGGGATGGCACCTCAGTGGGTCTCCAAAGCAGGACAAAGAGTTGTAATCATGTCAATGGAGTCTCAGAAATGACACCTGCCTGCCAGCTCGGTGGAGGGAGGGTTCAGAAAAGGAACAATGGCCTCTTCCTAACTTTCTGTCTGGGAGAAAGCTGTCCTGCAGCTCTCACCTTGATGCCAGACACAACCAATTCCTTCTTGTAAGCCACTGATGCTTTTCAAACTGCTACCTTGGTTCTGGAGCTCAGAGGAGTGAGTCTGAGTAAATCTGTGAGTGGATTCTTTCAGGGGAACTACTTGGGACTCCAGAAGTTTCTTCCATCAACTCAATCTCCACTGTTTGTTACAGCCAGAAGTTATGAGGACTTATCATCCTGGCACTGGGACCCTGGGGTGGAAAGGGCCTGTGGTAGGGCCAGGAGTCCTTGCTCCCAAGATATCCCTCCCAAATTTTTAACCAATACATATGAGTGTGGCATCAACCTGCTCCATGTTTCCATGTACAAGCCCCACCTACCAGTCTGAATGGCTGTGGTTTCTTTAATCCATAGTTGTTGGACTCCCACTAACTTGATTACTAACAGTTCTGAGTAATGGTTGTTCTATAGTTTAGTTTTAATTTTGATGTGGTTCTGCGAGGAGGAAAACCATGTTTATGCATGCATCCATCTTGACTGCAAGTCTAGTTTTAGCACATTTATAAAATACTCTTTGCTTTAGAAGACTTCGAGTGGAGATGGAGGCATAGGTAAACACACTGCCTCCTCGCATAACCAAAAGAAGGACAACAATTTAAAAACAAAAAACAACCAGAACTGACAGGAAATCAAACTGTATGGAAGTCTGACAACCAAGGAATTAAAGAAGAAACATCCAGCCAGACTGGTAGAAGGGGTGGAGATGGGCAGCTGGGCAGAGAGGACTTGCAGCAAAGCAGCAGTGGAGGACAGGGCACGTAAGGTGGTGGCTGGGCGGGAAAGCAGCAGCTGGTGGACCAAGCAAGGCAGCGGATTGTGGAGCAGGCGGTCCCACATTAGTGTGCAGATAAACTGGGAGGAACACCTAGGGAGCAAGACAGACTTCACAACTCGGGGCCCCAGCGTCAAGAAATAAAGCCTAAAGCTTCTGACTGAAAAAACCTGTGGGGGTTGAGGAGGCAGTGGAAGAAACTCCCAGCTTCACAGGAGTGTTCCTTGGAGATACCCACAGGGTCCTAGAACATACACAAGCCAACCCACATGGGAATCAGCACCAGAAGAGCCCACTTTGCTTGTGGGTAGCAGGGGAAGTGACTAAAATCTGGCAGAGAGCAGAGCAAACGCCACTGTTCCCTCTTGACCTCTTCCCCACATACAGTGTTGATGTGGGTTGCCCAGCCCTGGTGAGCACCTAAGGCTCTGCCCCTTATACGTAGCAGGCAAGCCAAGACAAAGGCCCAAATTAAAGAACGGATCAAAGCTCCAGAAAAAATACAACTAAGCGACAAAGAGATAGCCAACCTATCAGATGCACAGTTCAAAACACTGGTAATCAGGATGCTCACAGGCTTGGTTAAATTTGGTCACAAATTAGATGAAAAAATGAAGGCAATGCTAAATGAAACACAGGAAAATGTACAGGGGACCAATAGTGATGGGAAGGAAACTAGGACTCTAATCAACGGTGTGGACCAGAAGGAAGAAAGAAACTTTCAACCAAAGAATGAAGAAACAAGAATTCAAAAAAATGAGGAGAAGCTTAGGAACCTCCAGGACACCTTTAAATGTTCCAACATCTAAATTATAGGGGTTCCAGGGGGTGAAGAGGAAGAGCAACAAGTGGAAAGGTTATTTGAACAAATAATAAAAGAGAACTTCCCCAATCTGGCACAGGAAATAGACTACTAGGAAATCCAGAAAGCTCAGAGTCCCAAAAAAGTTGGACCCAAGGAGGAACACACCAAGGTACATCATAATTACATTACCTGAGATTAAAAATAAGGAGAGAATCTTAGAAGCGGCAAGAGAAAAGAAGACAGTTACCCACAAAGGAGTTCCCATTAGACTGTCAGGTGATTTCCCCAAAGAGATCTTACAGGCAAGAAGGGGCTGGAAAGAAGTATTCCAAGTCATGAAAGGCAAGGACCTACATCCAAGATTGCTCTATCCAGCAAAGCTTTCATTTAGAATGGAGGGGCAGAGAAACTGCTTCTCAGATAAGGTCAAGTTAAAGGAGTTCATCATCACCAAGCCCTTATAGGAAATGTTAAAGGGATTTATGTAAGAAAAAGAAGATCAAAAACATGAACAGTAAAATGACAGCAAACTCACAATTATTAACAACCCCACCTAAAACAAAAACAAAAACAAACTAAGCAAACAACTAGAACAGGAACAGATTCACAGAAATGGAGATCACATGAAGGGTTATCAACAAGCAAGTGGGAGGGGGAGAGAAGGGGAAAAGGTAAATGGTAGGTAGAAAATAGACAGGGGGAGGATAAGAATAGTATAGGAAAAGTAGCAGCCAAAGAACTTACAACGTATGACCCATGGACATGAACTAAAGGGGAGGAATGTGAGTGGGAGAGGGTATGCAGGGTGGAGGGGAATTAAAGGGGGGGGGAATGGGACAACTGAAATAGCATAATAAAATATATTGAAAATAAATTAATAAAATTAAAAAATAGAAAAATAGTCTTTGCTTTGAAAAAAAGAAAAAAACTTGCTTGTGCATTTTGTTGCTTAAGTATTTTGTTACATTCTCTTCTGATTGTGAAGAACAGTTCTTTACCTCTCATCTGAATCTTACATTTCCCACTCCCCTCCCCCCAGGCTAATTACATCTTATCCAAGCAATATAATCCAATTAAGCAACTGTATTTTCCTGTAAGTACCTTGACTCCTCTTCTCCATACCCTTTCCTGAGTTTTCATCTCTCACAAAGAGTGTATTCATAAACTAGCCAAGTGGAGCAAATAAACATTAAGTTTTACACAAGTATTTCTTTTTCCAGAGTAGTCTCCTTTGCAGTGGCAGAATGATTTAAAGATTTTTTGATGTAATATCCTGCTAATATAGTCCAGAACTATCCTTGGTTCTGTTGTTGCTATTTTGCTAACCGAAACAAACAAAAAACAGTGAGAAAATCATAGGAATTGCAATGCTATAAAGGTGGCTCTGCTGGCTTTTCTCTCTCCTTTACCAAGGCATCCAAATCTGCTATGCCAACCTTGGTTTTCTTATTCCAAACTGGACAAATGCACAGGGCTTTCATAATGTGGAAAAATACCATGACTAGACAAGGCTTTTTACAATTAATTCAAAGCACTGTACACATCTTGAGTAACCAACCATTCCCCATAAATCCCCTTGTATAATAGACAAAGAATTGCACAGAATTAATTATTTTTCCCTTCCCTTTCTTCCAAGGACTGTAAGTGCTTTGTCCACAATAAAAAGCAGATTAGGAAACAACACTTGAGGCTTTGCAAAGATAGATGTTCTCCATGGATCAGATCACTCTGCTGCAAGCATTCACTAATCACTATGTCCAAAGCAACGGTGACACCAACTCTTCTTCAAACATGAGAAACAAAGTACAAAGAGCAGCCAAGTAGTATTCCATATGTAACATGAGATCCAAACACTAAGCTTAAACACGCCCCATGCAACTACTTCAACAGATTCTATGATGGGTATCCAATTCAGTTGTTCACTCAACAAATATATTAAGGGTATAAAGCTTACTAGATCAAATAGCCTGTTAAATTTCATTCTCAATGTAGTACTAAAGGTTGATGATGGGGATGAAGGTGGGAGTGGGGGATGGGAAGTCAAGGTGTGCAAGTAGACTGAAAATAAGCCAGTTATACAAAAATTAGATTTTCCTTATACCTAGATTTCTAAGTATCATTTGTTGGTGACCTGAAATACTGGTTAGTCTATAAAATAACTGAAATGCTTAACCAGAGGAAGGATTTAGAGAGTCAGAATATTCCTTGAATGAAATACAAAATGGAACTCTAAAATCACTTTCCTAACTAAAGAGCAAGCAGAAATTCAGTCAGATAGTGCTTCCTCCTAAAGAGAATGACACTTACAAAGGAAGAAAATAGAAATCAACACATTTTTTAAATGTCAACTAATACTCAGCCCATTGAAAATAGTAAAACATAGATCAGAAAGAACTCTATTACTATGAGTCAATTTTTTTAGAAAGAATCTTGGGAAGGTTTTTCATTAATGATTTACACTATACAAATGTTAAAAAGCAATGTAGTATTTTTTTCTAAAGGAAAAAAATGTCTCTAAAGTTTAAAGTTTGGGACCTAGAAAATTCCATGTTTGAACTTGAAAAACTAGTTTAAAAAACCCACAAATTAATTACTTACCTGCCCAACTCTCCCTGGATGTTTCAAGGCCAAGCCTCCACTAGAGACAGCAGCAGCAACATTCCCTTCATGGTCCACAACCACAGCTCCCACCGTGTCCAAAGTGCCTGAGTCGTTCTCCTAGAGAGTAGAAGTAGCATGAGCACTTACTAAACATGATGTGTGACAATTTGATATGACTCGATAGCACTTTTTAGTGAAATCATTACATAAAATATGAGCTAGTCCTTAAGTGGAACATTCGGCGATCTCCTAAAATTACCTATTATCAAGGTGCTGTTTAAAACCTGTTCAAATCAAAATGTATCTTCACTGAAAAAATCCTGAACAAAAGTTTTTTTCTCACAATAAGCCTAATATGCCTTTCTATTGAAGGAGAGAAAATTAATATGATTTTAAAATATATCACAGTGTCATAGCTCAGTGGACTGAGCTCAGGCTGAAAACCAAAGTGTTGCAGGTTCGATTCCCAGTCAGGGCACATGCCTGGGTTGCAGGCCACGGCCCCCAGCAACCGCACACTGATGTTTCTCTCTCTTTCTCCCTCCCTTCCCTCTCTAAAAATACATAAATAAAATCTTTAAAAAATATATTTAAAAAAAGATATATCACAGTGTCTTCTTATCTCCAAAAATTAAGTTCATGATTGAGATTCTGTAAAGGCAAATATCTGTGGCATAAGTGAATACCATTATCAGTATTTTTAAAATATTACATACAAATTTTTAAAAGTAAGCCCTGGCTGGCATAGCTCAGTGGATTGAGTGCAGGCTGTGAACCAAAGTGTTGCAGGTTCAATTCCCATTCAGGGTACATGTCTGGGTTGCAGGCCACAGCCTCCAGCAGCCGCACATTGATGTTTCTCTCTCTCTCTCTGTCTCTCTCTCTGTCTCTCTCTCTCTCTCCCCCTCTCCTTTTCCTCTCTAAAAATAAATAAATAAAATCTTTTAAAAAATAAAAGTAAGAGAGTCAGCACAATAGAGAATGGTATTTACAATCTCAGAGTATATTATGCTAAAATTTTCTTTTACAGTTTTTGGCCTGTGAGAAACTTTGTGGCAAGCCTGCTTCTCTGCTATATAAATAATATGCCTGCCAACTGTGTATCAGAAAACTACATATCTTTGAGAGGCATCTCTGCATTTCTCTGTTTTGTCCCAGGTCCCACATGTTTAAGACACTTCACATGCAATCACTACAAGCAGCTGTCTTCCTACCTTGTAGTTTTCTGGGTCACATATGCAAGAGAGAAGAACCTTATACTACTGGATAAAAATCAGAATTAAGGAAGGCAGGTAAAAGGTGTCATGAAAAACAAAACTTTTTATATATTAATAAGTCAGTCATAATGGTGTTTTTTTAAAGATTTTTCATTTTATTTATTTTTAGACACAGAGGAAGGGAGGAAGAGAGAGAGGGGGAGAAACATCAATGTGTGGTTGCCTCTCTTGCACCCCCTACTGGGGACCTGGCCCACAACCCAGGCATGTGCCCTGACTGGGAAAGAACCAACAACCCTTTGGTTCACAGGCTGGTGCTCAATCCTCTGAGCCACATCAGCCAGGGCCCATGATGGTGTTCTTAAAATTAGGACACTGGTTTTCAAACTGTACCCCAGAAACAAAGACCCCTTACCCACATTCCCACCCACAAGGACACATAAAAGAGCCAGATATAATCCCAGATTCAACAAGAACAACTCCCCCTCCTTGTGGTTCATGGTCACACTACTGAGAAAGACTTCATGTGTACTGAGGGATCCCTCCCAAAGGTTTTGAAGTGCAATCCCCAGGAAAGTCAATGAGCTCCTACAGCTACATTAAAAGTTGAGCAAAACTGAAGGGAGTTTTGAAATAATAGAAGCAGAATGCAAAGAAAAGGTTTTTCCTTAAAGCAAACTGAAAAATTCAGAGGCAGAGCATGCCACAATATTACATTAATAATACTACATTAATAAATATTACATTAAATCTGTTAGGAGAAGGTACACCTAGGCATTTACATTTCTTTGGTTATTACTAGTCTAATTCCTCTTAAATATAATGATATGACAGTACTTACTTTGATGGAAAAGGTATATCTGACTGAAATGAGTGCTGTATTTCTACTGTCCCCTTTGACCATAGCTGGGAGAAGCCTTGCCAATGGATCCTCATGGCCATATCCCAGAATACCATGGTCCTGCTGGTGGCAGGCTGCCTGACCTTCACAGACAGTCCCCTGACCTGACTGTAAACTCTCTGACCCACTCTGTTTCATTTTACACACAGCAGACATTTCAGGACATCATTATTCATTAATTAGAAGGAATAATGTATGTCTGTATCCCTGTAGTAAGTGATGATACATGCCATGCCATTCTAATGTCAGGGCCTCAGTCTTCCATCTCCTTTTCTCAAGATTCAATTTCATGCAAATTCAGAAGGTGCTACTATCTTAGGGAAGATTTATCAAAAGCAGGTCTGCTGATTTGGTATTGACAAACTAAAGTTTATCTTCTTTGGTGGATAAGATGTAAGTATCAATGTAAAGAAATGCATTGGACACATTTTGTTACAAAGATGAGTAATCTTAATGAGAAATGTACTTTAAAGGTGAACATATGTTTCATTATTCTAGGAAATAATTCCTAAATCATTATATCTGGCAACCTCAGATACAGAAGTGTTTGTTTCTTGTCCAGATGCCAAGTGGTATGACTTTTATAGGTGGACTTTTCAAATTTTAATGTGCATGCAAACCATCTGGAGAATCTGTTGAAATGCAGATTATGATGGAGTTACCTGGGAATGGTCAAGACAATATGTCAAACAACCTCCCACTAATGCTGATATTGCTAGTCTATGAACCCTGTTTTGAGAAACAGGTCTGAGAGCACCCCACAAGGCCATTATCAACCAAACGTCTACTATAATCAATGATACAAATAATTTTATAGTCACAAATCTGCTCAGGGAGAAACTTAAATCATCTAAGACTAACATATGTCAGCATAAGAGATTTAAACTCTTTCTTACTCAAACACCAATTGGTAGCATATCATCATGATCACACCACTGATGAACATATTACAAATTACTTTAAATTATTGATCTTATACTGGTTCTTTTAGAAATGGACAATTTTCATACAAATGGAAACTATAAAATAATTTTACTCAATAGCAACAACAAAAATTCAAGGAACAGTATTCTTTATGAGTCTTATTTTAACTGAGACTTCTGATCCTACCACAGCATTCTGTAATAGAAATTTTACTGCAGAAATACATAACATATACATGGTGACATATATTATCTGTAAAATAATTCTCTTAGAATTTCAATCAGGATATCATAAACCATGAGAACTCACACACCAACCAAACTACTGTTGAAAGATTCAAAAGGAGTATACATAGATGGATTTACTGTAACCTGATTTTCAAAAATGAAAGATCAGGCAAAAAAAAAACTAGAGAATCCTGTTCCGAATTAAGCTAAATATTCCTAAGGGCTTGCAACACCTGTAAAAATCAAGATTACTTCATAAATATTCAAGAATTAGTTCATAAATTTCATATTGAAAAACAAATTTAAAGATAATGAAGTAATATTTAAGCATTTATGAAGCACAGGTAGTGAGTAAAAGACAAACATCAGTACCATATTTTGCCATGTATAATGCACCCTTTTTTGCCCAAATTTTTTAGGGAAAATAAGGATATGCATTATACATGGGTAAAATGGTTACAATACCATGGGTATAATAATCCTGTATGTAATGCACACAAAAATGTGGGTGCACATTATGCACATGGTAATTTCACAGTACTCATTTGTACAGAAACAAAATATTAGAAAGGCTAAAAACACACAGACTGTTAACTATATAGAACTACTATTATACTCCTATACCCCATAAATACTTAAAAGTACATGCACTACACAGATACACATGTACCTACTGTCCTTGACTAAAACACACTGTTTGCATTACTTCCCTGAAAAAATTGTGACTAAAAAGCAACTATATATACTATAATTCCCTGAGAATGAATATGTGTGTATAAAGTTAGAACACAGAATGCATGTGTCAAGGAAAACTTTGAAATGAAACTTTCTTGAAGAACCAATAAACTAGTAATCACTGTTGGGCTTAATGTCAAAATTTTTTATTTTTCTCTGCTCCAACATGGAGATGACCATTACACAGTTGTGGTAAGAATTAAATTAAGTAACACATGTAAATGACTTTAAAAGGAATAAATCCCTTAAAGCAAAATTTAGGTATGTTCCACCAGAAAATTGAGACTCTAACCTGCACTCTAATTCTGAAATTAGTCAAAAGATACCATCCATCAATTACTTATCTCATTAACTTGGTTTTTCTTCTGTACGGAATTACTCAATTATCCAATAGCTAAAACCAAGAATAATCTCAAATGTATACCTGAAACTGATAAAAGGTGGAATTATCCTAATACAAAAATAAAGAAATACCTGTTTCAAAAATATACTGAAACATCCTAGTACACCACTGTTAGGTTTGTGGGCAACACTAACTGCTATGAGTGTCCACTTGAATGATAGCTCTGCTCACAGGAGATCAGATCTGGCTCCATTTTACCTCCCACAAACCAGCCCCCTACAGTGGGGCCACTGTGGGCCCAGAGTATAATAGATATGTATAAACGAGGTATGATTTACCTAAAATTATCAACTCTCATATATCTGGCTTAGCTGAAACCAAGGAAAAATTGGATATAAGACCAACCAATGACCTTTCTCTTTAGGAAATCACCCTTCTAAGGCTAAAGGGTCTGCCAGCGGCAGCCAGCCTGGGCCAGAGTGGCAGTCATTCTTGAAAAACTCAAGGAATTCCAGTTAAGCCCAGGGGGTGCCAGAAACACGCAGGGAGAAACTGAGTTGTGTGGTTTCAGGGTGAGGGCCATCTTTTTCCATGGCCAATAAGCAGCACATTTCCTGTACTAAGCCTTCCCTCCACGTGCCAAATCTTAACCTGCTTTGCCTGCTGAACTCTACTAGCTCCACACTGGCGACTCTCTGAGACCCCACACCACTGCAAAGGCCTCCAAGAGGTGGCCACTGCCCTTGCTGTACCCTGAGAATTTTGCTGAG